GCACATTCCCAGCCCCTCCAGGTGTTCCAGAAGGATACCCTGGTCGATGGTATCAAATGCTGCTGAGAGATAGATGCACCAATGGGGACGCACTCCCTCTGTCAGTGTTAAGATGGAGTTGGAGGACCACTGCCTTCTTGACCACCTTTCCCAAGAAAGGAAGATTGCACACTGGCCTGTTAAGATCTAGAAAATCCAGGGAAGGCTTTTTCAGCAGGGGTGTAATTGCTGCTTCTTTTAAACAGGATGGAAAATTCCCTACTCTGAGAGATGCATTTATAATATGTTGTATTTGAAATTGAATTGCATCTCCTCCCAGGATGACCAGCCAAGAGGGGCAGGGATTGGGAAAACAGGTTGTTCCCATCTCGCAGCAGCTTGTCCATATTCACAGTACTCATCAATTGAAACTGATCCAGTGTAATCCCACTCACAGAGTTGCTGGAAACTATTATCAACTTCTGTTCCAATTACAACATCTAAGTCGGCTCTTATTCCAGAATTTTTATCTGTGAAATGGTTATTAAAGGAATCACAGTGAGCTACTGAATCAGGTTCAGAGGGGAGGGTACCTAAGGTTGACTTTGCACTTTCTTGGATAGCTCAGCTGGACATTAATTCACAGACACAATATATAGAGAGAATAAATGTTTATTTGCAGCATACAATGATACCCTATAGGAACAGAGATGTTCTCTACCTTGTGTCTTGCCACATAGAAGTTGAGTTTTCTGCCATTTGTGCTCCATTTGTCATCCTTCCTGTTTCAGTTCCCTGAGAGTTTCTGTATACTAGGGAGCTTGGTTAGTAACAGGTCAGAGAGGACATTTGGGAGTGATCATGGTAATAACTCTAGTTAGACTTTAATTGCACTTATTGACCAGGGATTCCACAGGATTGTCAGTGGTGCTACCCATAGAACTCCCTAAGGCAGTGGTTCTCAACCTGTGGGTCCGCAGATGTTTGGCCTTCAACTCCCAGAAATCCTAACAGCTGCTAAACTGGCTGGGATTTCTGGGAGTTGTAGACTAAAACACCTGGGGACCCACAGCTTGAAAACCACTGCTCTAAGGCCTCCTGGAATCTCAAGGAATCTCGATCTCCATTAGCCTTTAAGGATTGAGTATTTAAATAGGGATAGGTTGTATCTGTGATACTAGCCTTGACCAGAAAATAGGCAACCTCCATAACAACATGGAGGTATTGGTCACTTCCATCCACAGATCCACATGTTCCAAACTGAAGGGTATAAGAAGTGTAGGTTCAGAGACCGATTGAGATAGGTCCGTATTTGTCATGGATACTACAAACTCCCAAGCTGCGTGTAGAAACTGCCCTCCTGTGGTATGTTGAAGTCCCCCAGAGGCAAAGGTTTCGGGTGACTTCAACAGCACCTGTTCTGCAAGCTTGGTCAGGGAGGCAGTGGAGTGGACACTATACTAACAGAATCCCCAGTCTGTCCCTGATATTCAGACTCAAGTACACATATTCAATGTGATTCAGTTCCCTAGTAGGTCATCTGGTCAGATCAAGATGGTCTTTATAGTCCGCGGATATTTCCCACCCACACACTTTTCCCTCACCTGCTCACTAACACAGTATCCAGCTATCATCTCCCAGCCAAGCTTCAGTGAAGTATGACAGATCAGGTCTCTCATCTTTGAGGAAATTATAGATGATATGGGTTTTATTTTTAACCAACCTGGCATGGCTTAAGAGCAATATGAGGTTTTGCAGGTGACCTGGCTCGTTCTCCAAGTTCCCAAAGCTGGCAGGGTGACTGGAAGGGTAAGATAGATGTTAAACATCTTTCTCTCCTTCCTCTGTGATAGCATGTGCCTCTGCCATCACCATATCTTCCTCTGCCATGTACAGCTTGTTTTGCCACTCCAATTTCCTTATAAATGTTATTAAAAACAAATAACAAACAGGACCCAAAAAAAAACAAACCTCTTATCACACCATACTAGTTCATGGATGTGGTTTCCGATCAAATGGGCCAATTAGTTGGTTATTCTAACAGAACTCTTCTCCCATTAAGGCACTGCCTTATAAACAGCTCAGTAGCTCCGGGTTGTCTTCGCCTTGCTTTCCAGTTCTTCATCTGGCACTCTCTCTGCCAGCTGGTGCATTAGTCCTAAAGGAGTTGGCATCCATCCAAATGAACTGATAGAAATTTTGTGTACACATACAGTATACAACCTAAAATAGAACAAAAATAAACTCTCCTTTCAGCCAGGAAGGTATAGCCCAGCCAGGCAAAGCAAAAAAGCAGCAGCAGTTGGGTGGGAAAGTGCTTACCTTTGGGCTTTCTCTTTTGGCAGAAGCTTTTGAATCTCTCAGGTCCTGTTGGACTGAAGCTGTCTGTCTAAAGAACATGACTACACAAACACATTTGTTTTTACAACCAGTCACCTTAGAAGCCCATTAGCTTCAAAAGTGTTGCCTTTGACAAGAAGTAAAAGTAATGGGAGAAATTTTGCATACATATATATTTAAAGACATTTCTTGGATGGAAATCAAATTGCTATCTCACTTTAAAAAAAACTTCACAAAAACCAATAGCACAAAACACCATTACGAAATAAGAGTAATTAAAAGCCGGTTAGTAGATCCCAATAATGACATGCCCCACTTCCTGCTTATCAGATGCAGCATGCTGAGAAAGTCAGCCCCTGAGAGAAAAAATATCTGGAAAGTAGTTAGCATGCCTGTAAAAAAGATTGTTATTACCTGAAGGGTAAATACCCCAAAGGCACCAGATCCCATCTAATACCAGAAGCTAAGCAGGGTCAGCTCTGCCGATTAGTTGGAACGAACACCAGGTGCTGTAGGTTATATTTTAGAGGAAGAAACTGCAAAAGTCTGTGTATCCCTTGTCTAAGACATCCCTATGAAATTAATGGACTTGTCATGAATCGAGTGACACACAAACAAGTTTGTCCAGGTAGTAAGTTATGCTGTTTTGTAATAGTAACTGCAACATGAGGTGCAAAGGCACTTCACAGCTTGGATATTTCACTAGTAATTTATCTATAACTATCCACGCACCATGGCCTAACCTCCTTAGCTTTATTCTCTTGCCTATCAAATGGTATTTCTTCAAATAATCTTTCAGTTTCGTACTAAGAACCTAGCCTATTTAATGAAAGTAATCAGTTTCTTATTTTTTATGTTTCTCACACTAAAACGTAGCTCTGTACATCCCAAGACTGTGTTCCCATGTCCTCTCTTACCATCATGGTAATTAACTGCTGCTTTTTACTCTTGTAGTGTTTGCCCAGTTTATTTTCTCCTCGCTCTACCACCATGGCATTACCAAAGTTATCCCAAGTCACAGGGAGGAGGGAAAAAGCTTGTTTTCTGCTGCCCTGGAGACTAGGACGCGGAACAATGGCTTCATACTACAGGAAAGGAGATTCCACCTGAACATTAGGAATAACTTCCTAACTGTGAGAGCAGGAACTGTTTGCCCTGCAGTGTTGTGGGGGCTCCTTCTTTGGAGGCTTTTAAACAGAGACTGGGTGACCACCTGTCGGGGGTGCTTTGAATGGTGTTTTCCCGTTTCTTGGCAGAATGGGGTTGGACTGAATAGCCCACAAGGTCTCTTCCAACTCTATGATTCTGTGATTCTACAAGATGGTCCTCTGTATTTCACATTCAGAAGACATGATGAGCCCTTCACTTGACATCATCATAGCATTGTGATTGTGCTTGATCTGCCAGAAACCTGGACCAGAGAGCCCCAACTCAGTTTTCCATATTGTGGAATATAGTTCTATAATTCTGTAGTGAGAAAGGATCAGAGAATTGGCCATTCAGCATAGTAACCCAGATGGCAGGTTAATATCCTCCCCATACCTTGAGGGCAGCAGGCTAGTTCAGGGGCCTCGGGGATGGGCCATGTGAACTACACAGCTATGAATGGGCTCAGGAGAAACACCAGAGCTCCCCAGCATCGGTTTCCCAGAGCAGTCCCCTTGCCCTGCCTAATAAGAATGATCCTCCCGACCTTCTAAATTCTGTTTTGCATAAAACAGCCTTCTGGTATATGGGTAACAATTAAATTAAATGGGTGGGTCATACAGCATTTTAACTATCCTTATCACAATATAGATATATTTTGGTTAACAGAGTAGATGTGTTCCTGGGCATTATTTTCATTAAAGGAAACGTTGTTACCAAAGACAGAAATAATATGGAAAGTATAGGATAGGTTCTTACGCAACAAAAAGAACAAATTAACATATTTTATCAAACTTTATATTCAAAACTAATAAACATGTGGGTGTGAAATGAAACAACCAGTCAGGTAAGCCATGACAAAGTAAAATAATTTTTTGTATTGTCAAAGGCTTTCATGGCCAGAATCACTGAGGACCTCACAACCTCTGAGGATGCCTACCATAGATGCAGGTGAAACGTCAGGAGAGAATGCTTCTAGAACATGGCCATACAGCCCGAAAAACCTACAACAACCCAATAATTTTTTGCATTATCCAGAGCCTTGAAGTCTTGTTCCATAATGCAGCCAGATATGGCTTGTTCCTATTATTTCCATTTTGGTGCCCAAAATTTCAGTTCTGTGCTATTTTAATGCATTGGCACAGGGGTGAGGTAGACTTAACTTTTCTCTGTTTTATTGTTCACACATACTCTGTGAGAAATTGTGGAGAGCTGCTGTAGACAGGCACACACAGCTACAGCAGGATCGGCTGGAGTGGAATCCAATTCTTTGCCAGCTTCAGCTTTATTGCATTGTCTACTACAGACTGTAATTTGACTCTGAAAATCTGTGTTCTGCAGTCATCTTTCACCTTCTTTACAAAGCTAACGCTGCTTCAAAAAAACCCTTCCAGCTAAGAGAATAAAAACTAAAAAGGAGGGCTGGGCAGCAAGAAACAAAACTTTGTGAAAAGGGGATACTTTATTAACGGAGGGGTGCCTTTGATTCTTATGCAACTGAAGTTTCTACTCTAATCCTCATGTGGTTTTTTCAGGCCCCCTTTGCAGTATTTTGGTGGAACGATTTGGCTGCAGGGTCACTGTCATGCTGGGAGGCCTTCTCAGTGGCGTGGGCATGGTTGCCAGTGCTTTCTCCAGGTCTATTAGTCAGCTGTACATAACAGCTGGATTCATCACCGGTGAGTATTGCCAAAATGCTATATGCCAGTGTTTCTCAATCTGTGGGTCCCCAGGTGCTTTGGCCTACAATTCCCAGAAATCCCAGCCAGTTTACCAGCTGTTAGGATTTCTTGGAGTTGAAGGCCAAAACATCTGGGGACTCACAGGTTGAGAACCACTGTTGTAGACCTAGGTATGAATAGTCAGAAATCCTACTGGGTTCATTAGAACCTACTACCAGGAAAGTGTCTCTCAGACCATGAATATAAAGATTGTGATCCTGCTTCAGCCATTATTTCAATTCTACATACTCTGCATAACCTGTCATAACCCATCAAATCTTAGTATTGGGTAGCTTCATAATTGAATTAGCATTAAGCCACTGTGATTAGAAAGCACTTGCTGAAATTCCTTTCTAAAAATCTCATAACTAAAGCACTGTTTTTAAACAGCAGTCACCCCTGTCCCTAACATGCATACATAAAATGGATGACATTGCTAGAAGCTCATTTTTGTATACTAATAATTTAGAATGGGTATAGAAATTGGTCAGATAAAAAAAAATCCATCATTTGGGAACACTTTCATAGTGATCACATAGCCTCATGTGATCTCACACTGAGACCAGAGATTGTAAAGACATGGAGAGCAAAACTATACTCCACCCCGTCCCCCTTAAGTAAAGCCCCTGATTTTTTGTGTGTGTCAGGAGTGACTTGAGAACCGTGGAGCTCCCGGTGGCGCAATTGGTTAAACCCTTGTGCCAGTGGGACTGAAGACCGACAGGTCAGAGGTTCGAATCTGGGGAGAGTGCGGATGAGCTCCCTATGTCAGCTCCAGCTCCCCATACGGGGACATTAGAGAAGCCTCCCACAAGGATGTTAAAACATCAAAAAAAAAAAACATCCAGGCATCCCTTGGGCAAAGTCCTTGCAGATGGCCAATTTCTCACACCAGAAGCAACTTGTGACTTGCAAAGCCCCTGATATCAGAGATAGACAAATACTTAGTATTGAGATAGATGCTACTAGATACTTTGTCTGCCTGCCTCTTTCTGAGTTTAGCATGTTCTAAGTCTGTGTCCTGCAATCTCTTCTTTCTTCCTCTAAAGGCTTGGGATCATGTTTCAGCTTCCAGGCAGGGATCACTGTGCTTGGTTACTACTTCGTACGCCGGCAAGCCCTTGCCAATGCGCTGGCCTCCACGGGTGTCTCCATTGGCTTGACGCTGTGGCCGCTGATCTCCCAGTACCTGCTTGATGAGATGGGCTGGAGAAACACTTTCCTCATCTTCGGGGGAGTGCTGTTGAACTGCTGTGTGTGTGGAGCTGTGATGAGGCCAGTCCCAGTGAAGGCCCCAGAACCAACACCAAAGCCCTGCCCTGGACAGTTGCTAGAAGAGACACACTTGTCCAATGGCAATACCTCATGTCATGAGGAGCCACTGCGTCCATCCAGATGCGCTCCTTGCCTTCAGACCCTACAGAAGTACCTGGCTTTTGACATCTTCTTCAAGAACAAAGGCTACCAGATCTACACCATTGGTGTGTCCTGGATGGTGATGGGATTTGTGCTGCCCCTCATCTACCTGGTGCCCTATGCCATCCTGAATGGAGTGGAGGAGCGCAAGGCAGCACTGCTTGTCTCCATCATTGGCTTCATCAACATCTTCATGCGGCCCATGGCCGGCCTGCTCTCAGGCCTCAGTGTCTTCAATGGCCGGCGGATCTACCTCTTTAGCATGGCTGTCATGTTCAATGGTTTGAGCAACCTTATTTGTGCCATCTCAGCTGAGTACAATGTTCTCGTTTTCTACTGCTTGGTCTATAGTGTGTCCATGAGTATCATAGGCGCACTAATTTTCCAGGTATTAATGGATGTGGTGGAAATGGACCGGTTCTCCAGTGCCTTGGGGCTCTTCACCATCTTGGAGAGTATCACCATTCTCATTGGACCCCCTCTTGCAGGTGAGATGTAAATAGAATTCAGCAGCTGATTTTAATATGGAGAGGCATTTTGGAAAACCAAATTTCAAAAACATATGGAGAAAAGAAAATTATCAAGTTCTATATAAAATCATTATTTCGGGGATGGAGGGGTTAATGATGTTGTTCTTTTTAAAAAACTGGGTAAAACTGTGGTGTAGCCTGGGCTTTTTTTTTTTAAGAAAAAAGAGAAAGGAAATATCAAATGCTCTGCAAGAATCAGACCCAGATGTTCAAATTGGAATAGATTGGAAATCTGTTTCAAGTAAGAACCAAATCAAGTTGCCTGCTGATATACCATTAATTTGATTGCTGAGTGATGTTCCTGCAGATTTACATCATTAGATAAGATTGAGGGGAGACTTTGGTCTTTGGGTAAAGGGTCTTGAACAACTAAGGATAAAACTATGTTAGCAGAGCTCTTACACCAGTTTTCCTAACATTAATAGGAAAGAAACATGCAAGTACGTTAGGATTCAGAGATTCTGGTCTTGCAACTGCAGTGACAATTTATTCCTCTTTACTTGTTCCTGGTTGCTCCTCTGACAAATGTCAAAAGTCCATCATTCTTATGGCTGTGTTAGCCTCAGACTGGGCTGCAATCTATGCTGCTGGACTGCAACTCCCATCATTTCTAGCCAACATAGCCAAATGATTATGGCGGTTAAGAGCCAAATAAAAGTAGAGGATTGCACATTTCCCATTTCCCCTAGAGAGTGCTATTGGCTCACGGTCTGTTGAACTACTTTACACATCTGGACCATAAGAATGCCAAGTTATGAAACTGTATTGAGCAACAAACTTCAAGTTCTCTAGATGTGCCACTCAGAGGTCAAGTTCCACAAGATGTCCAAACCCAATGTAATATGGGATAGACATGATATGGAGTGAGAGAAGAAAATGAGAACAACAAGGAAGAAAGACAAATGACAAAAAAGAGATGGAAGGATCCAGAAACAATTGGGAAGCTGCTGAAGGGAAAATAGAATAAGTAATGAGGGAAAGCAGGGAAGCTGACAAGGAGGAAAAACGAAGGTTGTGCAAGAAAGGACTGGAATCATGAGCATCCCAATGCCTGTGATCTAATATCTCTGCCTGAAGGCCTCTTAACATTATCAGGACATGAAGCATAGTGCTTTCAATTTATCAGTTTCAGGGTGACAAAAAAGTAGAGAGACATTGAGAGCAGGTTATTAGTAGCCTATCATGTACATCTTTAAGTTCCAGGTCCATAGCAATACTTCCTTATTATATCTGTATTCTCAATAGACCCATGGTCACATTATTATTGTGATTTTACAGATGAAGAAGTGAGTGGAGTCAGTAGGGTTTGCAGCTCATTAATTCGATGGCTGAGCTGGAATTTGGAGGTTCAGCTCCCAATTTTGCTGACCACCTCATCCCAAAACAGATTGCCTCATGCTGCATAAGTAGGCACTAGTTATGACTGGGTAGTTATGATCTACTAGTTATGACTATAGCTGAGGTCATGGGAGCAAAGAGCAATGGCTTAAAATCACAGATTTAGTCCTATATCTGCCACAGGGTTATAATTAGCCATTCCTTCTCTCCAAGGATCATGATACTTGTAGCATTCTAATACAGAATTCTTCAAATTCTGTAAAATTATTTTGGGTGTGAGAAGAGAGGTAATGACAGTTGAGATGCTGGCATACTTTTGTAGAAACTCAAGGTGAATAATATGTAGTCCAACAGAGGTTATTGCTGCTAGAACACAGCCATGCAGCCCAAAAACCACACAACACCCTAACAGGGGTTGTTGAGCTATTGATACTGTTTTTCAAGGGGGAGGATGTGACCCATTCTGGTTAGGACCATTAACAGCAAGCTACTTTGTTTTGCCTGGATTCTGTTTCAGCTTGTTTTTCCTCATCCAACCCATTACTTCCTCCAGGCATTAATTCAGAGGAGACACACTGTTCTTAACTGACCATTAGTGAAGGCATAAAGAAGCATATTATGTCAAATATATAATAGGAATTATTTTTTTCTCGGTGGTGGCCCCACGGCTTTGAAGTTCTTTCCCTAGACAGGCCCCCACAGTGTCCTCCTTTCATAGGGACTTGAAGACGTCACTCTTCAATCAAGCCTTTGAGAATGTTTAATCCCTAGTTGTCCTGCTAGTAGTGGCACATCTTGCACTTTATCCCATGGCTTCTCTCCATTACTGCAGCTGGCACTTATTTTATTCCTAATGTTTACAGATTGGCCATGTTTTCAGCAATTTACCACCACAGTTAGAGGACCGCAGTTTGATTAAGTTTGAGTTGATGTTTTTTATATATGCACGTTTTTTATTTTATTGTATTTAATTTTGTGTTTGCTCTTATGTTTTGTTTTTAGGCACTTTGTGCTCTCTGTAAGCCGACCTGTGTCCCTTTAGGCCTATTATTATTATTATCATTATTATTATTATTATTATTATTATTATTATTATTATTATTATTATGAAAGAGTGGGGAAGGGCACCACAGAGATAGCTCTGTTCATTGTATGATGAGATCTTCTGCCCATGGCGGTTAGCATTTTTAAAGAAGATAGGAATTCTATTGAGATGTAGAAAACTGAACCTCAACATGTTTTGGGCTGAACTTTTGTTGCTTTTGTTTCTAGGTCTTCTAGTGGATCTATTGGGTCACTATAGCTATGTCTTTTATGCTTCCTGCTTCTTTATGGTCACAGCAGCTCTCTTCATGGGTATTAGCTTCTGCACCATGGAAGCAAAAGCCAAATTGAAAGAAACTAATAAGCCACCACTTGAGAACCCACCCAGGGGCAAGTACACAGAGGTGCCAGCTGAACTGGAGCCCGAGAAAAATGGCCCTCCAGACGTCACCTATGTCACAAGCATCTGAATCCAGAGGAGCTGGAGAAGCATTTCATTCCTCACAAATGCAAGAGATCTGGAGGCAGAAGGGAAAAAGAAGTGCCTCATCCTTTCCTACTCCCTCTGGTACTCACATGTTTCCTGCTGTAACCTTCTCCTCAACCATGTTGGGCTCAGGTTTCTAAATGAGGCATCTAGATTGGACAATTGGAGTTCAAAGCCCTCCAGAAATCCAAAGAGCACTTTAAACAAAATATTCAGGATGCACGGGGTCAAACAAAGACATTGGCTGGTAATGAGGTAATATCAATTTTACTTGAAGCACAGCCATTTTTATTATGATCGTGAGGTTTCCATTTCATATTCCAGTACATATAAATGAAAAGACTTATTCACTCTTCAAGTTATGAATTACAATCATTTCTTAATAAAAAGGCCAATCCAGCAAGGGACTTCCAACATGTTTCTGGACAGGCCCATCTGCCAGAGCTGAACTCAAGGAGAAGCCCACCGGATGACCCTCTTCAAGCACAAAAGACGAGCTCTTCCTTACGGGGCCTTACTGCTAGGCTCCTTGAATGTTACACAGAATTTTTCATTCCTGCTGTATGATCTGGGACCAGTTGCTATATAAATAAACTTCTCCTGCTCATAGTAGCCACATCAGGGGTAAGTGGGGTAGTAAATGCTATTAAATGAAGTAATATCTGCATTTCAAGGGTATTTTGAGCAGCAACAAAATGAAAAGTTACCTGCACTTTACCGTAAAACTGCTTAGCTCCAAAGTGCCAGTAATTCTAGCCAGTAGTGTCTTAAATCCTTTGTTCCTATTTGATTTATAGTGAAGAAAGGGTCACTGCCAATTTAAAAAGGCAGCCATAGTGTTTTGCCAGCATTAGATCATAACAGTCATACAAATGCCCACTCAGGGACATAATCTTATTCTCCTTCAAACATCACTCTTGTAGATACGTGTAATCGCTGTAAAGCTAATTAGAAGAAATCTATAAACTAAAAGTAATATGTTACATGTGGGTAAACCGACACCTCTATACACATACATTAGTGTAAAGAAACATTAAATATGACCAGTGCCATCCTTATTGGCATATCTAAATCAAAAGGCCAGGATCAGAAGTGTTTCTGTTCTGGCGTGATGTTCCTTTCTTAGATCACATGCAAAAAATTGTTGTTAGGGAGCTGGTGCTTTCTTTGCAATTGTTTTCCTAAAATGATTGCTTCATGGTAAAATTAGCTCTGGAAATGACCCAGGAAGCTGAGTTGCCTAGGAAAATTTGCAGTTAGTTTTGCCAGATCCTCTAAATTTGATCCTCTGGCCTTGGCCTTGTAAAAGCAGTCATGTTTGAACTGGAATACATCTGTGCTTCAATTCAGATTTTGCTTGCTTTTTCTTCACAGTTCCAGGCCCACATCTCACATCCTGTTCTTCCTGTTCTGATATCTCACTAAACATGACTTTCAATATTTCAAACAGGTCTGAAACAGTTTTAAGTGGTGGGAAAGAAACATTGTCTATGAACAATAACATATTCAGAAAGGGAATGTTTTGAAAGGTCATTGGATATAGAAACAGATAAGAAGGTCATTGCAATCCTGCTGTTGCATTTGAACTGAAGGAATTTTCTTGGATGCCTGGTCCAAAATCTCTTTTGAGGCAGCGGAACCAAGTGGTGCTCCCTCCTTAGCTCAACTAACATGGGCCACAATCCTTTGCACAAACTTTTTCAGAGCTGAACAGCAGTTGGATACAAACACAACAACCCTGCTTTGTGGCTTTGATAGAAGGTATCCAGTTAACTATGGTCATATATGAGGTATGCCTGCCATTCTACCACATGTAAAACAGTGCACAGAATATCGTCTCCTGAGGGAGCCACTTTACCTTACACATGTGAATAGATATTCCATGTTTAAAGAATGAATGTCTAACATATCTCTTCAACATATACGTTCATGCACACATGCACAGTCTGGAAAAGCTGTGTTTCGGAAAGCCAGATCTTCCAGCTTTACAAGGCTCTTGAATGTTTTTACACTACAAAGACATGTTTGGATCACATTCATATTATTTGTGTGCCTGTTTTTATGAGTGTTGTCAATAGAGGAACAAAACAGAGGTAGAGACAGATTCAGAACTGAAATGGGACTTGCTGTATTCAAGACTGAAATGGGATTTCAGGAAACTGACCTACAGCCCACTTGTGTTTCAGCTCCTAATAAAGGTGAAAACTGTTAGTGTCTGATCATCAACTAATTATCACTGCTCTGGTGTTTATGTAACACACGTTGAATGGGGGTGGGCTTCTCTTTACTCAGAATTTTAACAGTAGACCAAAGAAAATGGGCATTGATGCAGGGTATTTTACCCCCAAACACTTTGCAATGGTTTAGCTTCAGGACTGTTGCCTGTTTGTTTAAAAATGCTGCATTATTAGTTGGATTTTTTTTCATGTAATCTTTTTTTAATGTATGTAATATATTAAGACAAATGCTTTTAGTAACTTTTATAATATTGAGAGCATTAAAGAAAATTGGTAGATTCTTGAATTGTATCACGCACAGAGGCTTTGTGTTTGTTCCAGGCTTAAGGAATGTATGGTGCATTTTCCTCTGTGAGAATATATCAGTTGATAAAGGACCAAATTTCCTCCACCACCCAAAACCCTTTTCTGAATAAAGAAGCCAAATAGTACACTGATTTTGCTCTTGGTGTTTGCTTGTGTGTGTGTACATAATCACAAACATAAATTCAGCTATGTGTTTCAGAATGTCACTTCTCTATCTGTTCTCCCCCTTATCCACGTCACAATTCTTTATTAGGAGTATTATACCCCAAGGGGCCCCCTGGTGGTGTAACAGATTAAACTGCTGAGCTGCTGAACTGGCTGACCGAAAGGTTGGTGGTTTGGATCAGGGGAGTGGGGTGAGCTCTCACCATTAGACTCAGCTTCTGCCAACCTAGCAATTTAAAAACTTGCATGTGAGTAGATCAATAGGTACCACTTCTGCGGGAAGGTAATGCCACTCTGCAGTCATGCTGACCACATGACCTTGGAGGTGTCTACGGACAATGCCAGCCCTTCAGCTTAGAGATGGAGATGAGCACCAGCCCCTAGAGTCGGACATGACTAGACAATATCAAGGGGAAACCTTTACCTTTACCTATATCCTTGGCATGCCATCTTTGGTCTCTACTAAAATCAGGCCAGTGACACCAGAGAGGCAAGGGATCTGGCGATTCCCATGGTGGCTTGCAGCAGGAATCCAGCAATATTAAACTATCCCTTCGAAGGGTATATGTAAAAAGACTATGCCCCTGGGATACCATCCCGTGGACTACAGCATTGCAACCCAAACTAGGCTTTTTCATTACAATGCCTTAGTTCCATTTCATAATGTACCATTAGTCTTTGTCCCCTGCCTCATAGTAAAACAAAAGGGGACAAAGAAAGCCTGGGGTTTAAACAGATTTAATATTTATAAACTGCTGGTATTTTCCAGTGAAATACTCCTTCCCCTTGAGCTAAGATGCTCATTGTATACAAATTATTCGGTTTTCCTTAACCAGTATCAGACTTTTTCTCGCTTTTTACTTTCTGCCTTTGTGATGACCAAACCTCCTTGACATCTTATTTCTATCACGTGAGTTTTGTTTATACTTCTCAATGTTTTAATTATCAATAAACTAAAAATAAAAACCTATCACAACCAGAAAGGACATTGTGCTGCCGTTACTAGACCTTGCATTAGAATTGGTCTATGGCTGGAAGGATAGTTCATATTTTAAAGGTCAGGCAAAATAATAAATCAACCTAAAGTCATTGTAATATGAAAGTCAAGTTCAGTTTGATCATCAAGCCCTGAAGCAGAATTAGTTTCTTCAGACTTTCTACGTAGGGCAAGATAGGAAATTTTAATTATATTATAAATCTAGGTAAGCTAGACACAATTAGTTTTATGAAACATTGAAACTTAGCAAAGCTGAGGAAGCAAATCTCTTACGAAGTCTCTCCAGATCACCAAGATCTTCCACTTACTTGAAAGCTTTTTCAACTCATCCTAAGCAGGAATTGAACAATTGTGCTGTTTATCAGCTGCCATGAGGCAAATGTTTGTTGTTGTTTTAGATTAAAAGGTTACCAACAAATCAAAATATTCAATTAAATCAAGCAGCACACATGGCCTTCCTGATGACTTTAAAACAAAGTATATTATGAGCCACTCTGTGCAGAGAAGGCAAGGAACCTCATATCCACCTAATGAGCCCTTCTTTCTGAACTACCCCAACTGATGCCCAAAGAAGGTCACAAACATCTACCTCTTTGGGTTGCTGTAAGTTTTTCAAGCTCTATGGCCATGTTCCAGAAGCATTATCTCCTGACGTTCTGGAACATGGCCATACAGCCCGAAAAACTTACAGCAACCCAGTGATTCCGGCCATGAAAGCCATTGACAACACATATCTACCTCTTTATTACCAGACATGGCCTGAAAACCATAAGGAGAGTGTCTTCCCAGCCATTCCCTACTGCTAATTTTGAGGCAGTTCTCCAAATCATTTTGGATTTTTTGTTGCACTTCCCATCCATCTCCTTAGTAGGCTCTTGTTCAGGATTACAGGTGGATGGCAAAGCTTAATCCTGTTTAGGGCATCCTTTGGATCCTGGTGTTTATACACTCACTGTCTCTATTGCTAGGTAAAGCCGTATATTATATATTCTATTATTATTATTATTATTATTATTATTATTAAAATGAGTTAAAAGAGAGGCACTATTGTTTCCACAAAATGAGGATAACAAAATGCTATCCACAATGAGTCTGGCCAATGAAAACACTATGTAAATCCCATTAAGTGGACTCTGTTTCACAATAAATCAGCCAACAATTTATGCCGAGTCACTGTTTCTGAGTCTGCCAAAAAAGGTCTTTCTCTCATGATGCATAAGAATATTAAATCAATTTTTAAACACCATATCAAACTGCAACATCCATTTTAATTTTAACAGGATGATACCTCGCAGAAGTATCAAGGGAGACAGGTAAAGCAAGAGGAAATATCTAGTCATGGGTGTGCAAGTGTCCCATAAAGTAATCACATATCATGTTTACGAATTACACACATGCACTATGCCAGAAGTAGGTCTCATGATTTTCCTAGGGTTACCATGTATTTCTTCTGTGCACATGCTCAGTTTTTCTCTCTCTATTCCCCTTACAACCTCCCTTTTCTCAGTTCTACCTCTTGCTAATATAGTTTCTTTCCTAAAATTTGTGATTAAGTATACTGATACAATTGGCATTTTTTAATGAATCTCAGTATTTGGGATTATGTACATATAGCCCTTATTAAACTATTTTATTTAAACCTTTAAGCAGGCACTATAATTTTCTAGTGTGTTAAAATGTGAAAGAGAGAAAAAAAAGGTTCACACTAAACCAGTAGGCCTCCAGATGTTTTGGACTTCAGCTCCCAGTTCCTAACAGCTGGTATAAATTTCTGGGAGCTGAAGTCCAAAACATCTGGAGGCCCAACAGTTGGGAACCACTGCACTAAACTGTAATAAAACACTGCTTCATTTGATTGCTTTACCCTCAAGCTATTAATTTGTCCATGACTTTTTTCACTTAATACATTATAGTACCAAGTTTAATCAATTCTAAGGCATTGATTGTAAGCCGCATACTAATTTCAAGGTATGATACTAAGAAAAAAGAATTTTCATAAGAGTATCTTCTAGAATGTCTACAAATTAATTCTAAGAACAAAATAAAACCCTAAAATATATCTAACAAATATTTTTATTACTCCAATAGAATTAAATTTACGAACAACAATAGGGAAACAGATTAAACATAAACAATGCACACAAAATGAAGAAGGTATGGTATTTTATTCATCTCTTGCTTCTGAATCTGTATTTGAATCTGATTCATCAGAGTCTGATTCCTCTGACCCGTCTTTAGCATAATTATTCCATTATATATTGTCTTCTGACCCATCAAGAGCATTTGTGATGCAACATTTTTTAATGAGTCCAGCACTATTCTTTTGGGATTTGCTTTCAAGCTGTTGATACCCATTCTGCCAGTTTTATTGCTGGTGCTCTCTTAATTTTTCCAGAAGGTGTCAGAGGAAGTCTGTCAGTCATCAGCCAGGATTCGTATTCCTTTCTCAAATTATCCTTAAATGGTTTGTGGACTGAAATGTTGAGTGGCTGCAGTTGGATATTCATGCCATTAGGAATCACAATTAACTCACCACCCTTTTGCCTGGTTTTGTTTTTGACCTGGTTGGACAAATGTCCATGAAATGCATCAAGTATTTGAATGCTAGGTGGGTTATGAAGATTTCCAGGACGCCTCTCCCACACAACACTTAGCTGGTCTTTCATAAGCTCTGCTGTCACCCATCCATTTCTCTTGAACATACAATAACATCTTTGGGGAAAATCTTGTTCTTTGTATGTTTTTCTGATTTAAAATTAAGTATGGTGGCAACTTTCTACCATCGGCAGTGATACACAGCATCACAGTGATACGCTGCTTTTCATAGCCAGGACTTGTAGTGTGGATATCTTTAGCACCTTCCGCATTGATGGTGTAATTTTGAGGGATATCAAAGAAGACTGGAGTTTCATCAGCATTTCCAATTTGACTGAACTCATATTTTCTTTGTTTCCTTAATTCAATCACATATTGCTGAAAGTTGATCAGCTTCTGTTGAAAGTCTGCAGGATTCTTTTGACAGACAGATGTTCGTCAAGGGTAACTCGCTACGACAAGCGAGTCTGTCACACCAGCCCTGGCGGTCTTTAAAGATTCTGTCATCTAGTCTGAGGGACTTGAGAATTTCTATGGCTTTCAATTGCATGGTTTGTCAAGTGATTGGTAATCCTTTTGTGCTTGTCTGCTGTACAAAATGTATCACAGCTTCATCAAATTGTGGAAACCTTCCTTTTTTAGGTCCTGTAAAGCACTTAGTTGATACTTTGCCCAAAAATATGGAATTGCGAGCATTTCTCCTGAGACAAACATTTACCTCACTGATATAAAAATGTTGACCTGTAGCTCTATTTCCATGCTTTTCTGCATATTCAATAACTTTTTGTTTGAATGTGGCTTCGTAGTGCAATCTTTTTGACATTTTGATGTGCAATAAGGGATCACAACAAGTGAAACACAGATCTGGGAACTTAACTTTTTACGTAGGTGGTTTTGGAGATAAAATCAAAACTTGTTTGATAATAGTGGCTGCATACTTATGAAGAGTGCTACTTTGTTCAAAATGGGCTTGTGAGAGCATTATCTGTGAAATTTGGACATGCCTTTCTGCCTAAGGTGGGTTGCCTGCCTAAAAATAAAATGTGTGCTCCATCAACAAAGTGCAGTAAAAGTATTTTTTATAAACGTGATTTTAAGATGCACCTGCGATGATAAGATGCATGATTTTGAAGACCACTATATGGAAAAAAAATTCACCTTACAATCAATGAAATACAGTAATTCATTTGTGTTACCAATTGGGTTTCAAACAGTGATTAAAAATACATGTACAAGAATCAGAATTTCTTGATTCTGAAACTCAAAGCAGTGAGTACACTAACATGTCTGTCCTTCTGTCTCTATTAATGAAGAAAAACACAATCAGCCCTTCATATGAATTACGTAGAATAGCGAACACTTGACAACCTGTAATCGGTATTTTGAGTCCCGCTCCAGAATTCATGTCCTTCCAGACAAATCACTTTCTCCAAGAAAATATCTTCTTCATTAGGATGTGACCTGCTGAACTGTAGAAGCAATGAAGGCCAAAGCTCCTAGGTACCAGGAGTAATGAGAAAAGCCACCCACTCTGTCTAGGCAGCTCTCCTTTAGGGGCAAAGGCTGGCTAGGATGCACTTCTCTTCTTTGGCAGCTCAGCCAGTTGTTGCTGGCGCCTCTGCAGCACCTCCTGGCGCTTCTCCTCATAATACTGGAACTCCTGGGAACGAAGCTCCTCTATCTCAGGGAAAAAACTCCGTCTGTAAAAAACAGGCACACACAGAGAGTTTGGTTAAAGAAACTAAGCACCCAGGGGCCTATTCCGCTCAAACGGAAACTCTTCTGAATTCATCACTATCCACCGCCATACTGCTATACGAGCACCATAACGCTTAGCACTGAAGAGCTGAGAATGTCTCAGAGCAGCCAGTTGAAATAGGGTTTGTTTGAGGGACCTGAAGTGTCCTCTTTCTGTGTCTCCTTTTCCTGGGGCCCCTAAAATGTAAACTGATGCTCTTGGGGCTGTTTTTCCACCTCTTTTCTTCCAGTTAGTCCTCTCCCAGCTCTTCCCCAGAATGGAGCCAGTTTAGATTAGCACCCAGAATACCTGCTCTATCTTAATTTGTTTCTCCAAAACCACTGGTGTTTCTGCTCCTTACTCAAGATCCCTGTTTAGCTGCTTTAGGCCTTGACACAGTGAGAAAAAAGCATGTAAAAATAATTACAGGAGACTCTGAGAAATCAAGCAATCAGAACTCACAAGCAACTGACAAAAATAAGGAAAGTTAAAATAAAATTGTTCAAACACTGGATAATCGATTTTTAACACAGCAAAACTGTGTTACATTAAATTTGTCTTTCATTTCCTTTTAATTACTCTATTTCAATATTAATATCAAATCTATACAGAGTATATGGTATGGTATAGTATGAGATATAATACTAGTTAGGTCTATTTTAACTGTAACTCTCAAGCAACCAGCAACTACATTTATCCAGCCTCTGACAATCCACTTGATTTGCTGCTGGTTAACTGAGGGCCCATCCACACAGCCCTATAACCTAGCATATCAAGACAGAAAATCCCACAATATTTGCTTTGAATTGGGTTATCTGAGTCCACACTGCCATATAACCCAGTTCAAAGTGGATAATGTAGGATTTTATACAGCTGTGTGGAAGGGGCCTGAGTCCCTACTGTATTATTAGTATTGCTGCTGCACAAACTCTCTCCCTCATACGAAATGCTTCTGCTCTATAAAGGAGCCTTGAGGCACAGCTTTGAAATACAATGGGCCCTCAGGATGTCAAAAAGACATGAAAGTTCACATTCTATTATTCACAATTAAATTTACCTGGGAATTTTCAGATACTGTTTATATTTAATCCTGTTGTAATGCGTGTATATTTGTACTATTTTTTGAGCCCCTGGTGGCGCAGTGGGTTAAACCGCTGAGCTGCTGAACTTGCTGGCTGAAAGGTCACCAGTTTGAATCCAAGGAGCGGGGTGAGCTCCCACTGTTAGCCCTAGCTTCTACCAACCTAGCAGTTCAAAAACATGCAAATGTAAGTAGATCAATAGGTACCACTGGCACAAAGGTAACCCCGCTTCATTCAGTCATGCCAGCCACATGACCTTGGAGGTGTCTACGGACAACGCCAGCTCTTCAGCTTAGAAATGGAGATGAGCACTACCTCTCGGGGTTGGACACGATTAGATTTAATGTCAGGGGAAATTTTTACCTTTTATTTGTATATTTTAAATTTTAAATGGTTATGCTAATGCTTTTATATTAAGCCGCTTTGAGACCTCTTTGCAAGAGATAAAGCAGGAAATAATAATAATAATAATAATAATGTGCAATGAAATAGTGTCCCTTATGTAAAATCAAGGGTTGCTCTTCTCTTCTTTTTCATCTTTTAAAGATATTGTCAAACTGTGAGTGGTTGGATTCATGGACACAGAATCCAGTGGCACATTAATGAGCAACCCATTTAATGTCACACAAAGCCTGGCACAGGATTTCTGGTATGCTGGAGGTGGATGGAGTTGTATAACATGGGTGCCTCAAGGCCAGGGCTGGGCAAACTTGGGCCCTCCCTCCAGGTGTTTTGGACTTCAACTCCCACCATTACAAACAGCCTCAAGCCCATTCCTTTTCTCCCTCTGCCGTTTAAGCGAAAAGGAAAGAAAGAAAAAGGAAGGGCCCTGAAGCTATTAGGAATTGTGGGAGTTGAAGTCCAAACACCTGAAGGGTGGGCCCAAGTTTGCCCAGGCCTGCTCTACAGTCTACGCTGTAGAATGAATGCAGTTTGACACCACTTGAACTGCCATGGCTCAATGCTATGGGGTCCTGGGATGTGTAGTTTGGAAAAGCACCATCCCTCCTGGGCAGAGAAGGGTGAAGACCTTGTAAAACTACAACTCCCATGATTATCTAGCCATTGTAGTACAAGTGGGATCACTACATTAGATGCAGGCAGTTCGTGGGGCGACTATAAGGAGAGGCCTGGCCCGGGCCGCACTGCTGCAATGGGACATGGCCGCCCCAGGGGTTTTGCAGGCCAGGGCCTTGCTTGAACCCGGGCCCCAGGCTCCGCAGCAGCCCGCCCGTCCGCGTCTCCGCACCTGAACACGAAGGCGGTGGCCAGGGCACACAGGATGCTCCCGAACAACAACGGCTTGGGCAGCCCCTTCTTCGCCATGGTAAACAGAATCCACTCCGCACTTTCCGGCCCTCGGAGGCTTCCGTAGCCGCCCCTCTCAGAGTGGGAAGGAACGGGATTGCTGTGTTGCCCTTACAGAAGCCTTTCCGCCCGTTGTCAAACGTCACTTCCTGCTTCTGCTTCATGCTTTCCTCCTTCTCCTTTTCGGCTCTTGGTAGGCTTCAAGGAAACCGAAGGGGATGCTGTCGCTTTCCTTGGCTCGTAAGTGAACTCAAAAACAATCCTTCTTCCTATGGTACATCATTATTCTTATCCAGTGGTTCTCAACCTGTGCGTTCCCAGATGTTTTGGCCTTCAACTCCCAGAAATCCTAACAGCTGGTAAACTGGCTGGGATTTCTGGGAGTTGGAGGCCAAAACACCTGGGACCCACAGGCTGAGAACCACTTAGTTCTTAGGATAAGTTAAAATACTGTATGTATTCTCGGGTCAGGCTGTATTGTTTGGGTTCTTTGCAGGTCATATCCTTTGATGAAGAAGAAAAGGAGAGGAATGGAGAATGCGATAAAACGTGTCCTGGTGGTGTTTTTTCTCAAATTTCATTCAATATTTTGTTTCCCATTCCTAAGTTTGAAATGTTATTTTTCTTGAACATGTTGTTTTAAATATATTTATTTACCACATTTATATACCGCCTTTCTCAGCCCAGAGGCAACTCAGGGCGGTTCACAACTGGCAACAATTTGATGCCTCAACAATTATAACAATTAAAACAACAATAAAATAATGTTAAAAACATTTAGCATAAAATATAGGAATATTTTTAAAAACCGTACAAAGCCTTAAGAAACCTTAATAAACCTTAATAAAGCCTTAGGGATTTATAGGCGTTAATCTATAAATCCCTAAATGACTCCGGCCCCGTTTACCTGTCTGAACGTATTCTCCCCTATGAACCATTAAGATTGTTAAGATCTTCTGGAAGGGCCCTGCTCTTGGTCCCACCAGTCTCACAAGCGCGCCTGGTGGAGACAAGGGACAGGGCCTTCTCGGTGGTGGCCCCTTGGCTCTGGAACTCCCCCCCACTGGAGATTAGAACTGCCCCTTCTCTCCTGACTTTTAGAAAACAGGTGAAAACCTGGCTCTGGAAACTGGCATTTGACAAGTGAGTCAATAACTCATGGCTATATGAATGGATGGTGATGAACAACGATTTTATTGTGACAACTTGGCCATTGTAATTATATGATTGTATTTTTGGTATTTTAATATGTTAGTGTGATGTTTTTAAACGATTGCTTGTGATATTATTGTCGGAAACCGGCCTGAGTCCCTCCACAGAGGTGAGAAGACCGGTATACAAAAGTTCTAAATAAATAAATAAATATTAACAGTACTAGAAAGTTTTCTCTAACAAAGGATAAAAATGTAAAAATGTATATAGAATCAATAAAGCTGAAGTAACACTTCAGTGTAAGTAAATCTGAATAACTGCTGCTAATAATAATAATAATAATAATAATAATAATATTCTTTGAGTGTACCAGGACTGTGACACAGCTGGCTGGAAGTCATCTGCATTGAGATCACTACTGACCAAAAGGTCATGAGTTCGAAGCCAGCCCGGGTCAGAGTGAGCTCCCCACCAATTTGTGTAGCTTGCTGTCGATCTTTGCAGCTTGAAAGAGTTGCATTTTTCAAGTAGGAAATTTAGGTACCGCTTATGCGGAGAGGCTAATTTACAATGCCATATACATCCCCAGCAAGCATGCAAAGAATGAGAAAGTACTTCATCAGTGTCACAAATGGATGGTGAAGCAACAGCTCCCCTGGTTGCCAGAATACCCTCATAAAGCTGAAAGGTTAAATGGCCTCTGTGTCTGTCTATATATGTTGTGTGTCTATGGCATTGAATGTTTGCCGTGTATATGTACATTGTAATCCGCCTTGAGTCCCCTGCGGGGTGAGAAGGGTGGAATATAAATACTGTAAATAAATTAAATAAATAAATAAAATTGTCTTCTCCATCAGCACTATGTCTGAAAAACAGAAGGACTTGCTAGGCCTGGATCGACTGGAATACCTGCAAGCATTGGTCACCGAGTTCCAAGTGTCAGAAAGTTCTGGTGAGGAGAACCTACTCATCTCTTCCTCTTTGGCTCTGGGTTTCTGAATGCCTTGCTCCTCTCCGTCGATTGTTTCCTCAACTTAAGGCATGCATTTTTTTATTATATTGCAGAAGCCAAGGAGCAAGTGCTGGCCAATCTAGCTAACTTTGCTTATGACCCCAAGAATTATGGATACCTCCGGCAACTGAAGGTTCTGGACCTCTTCCTGGATATGCTCACTGAGGACAATGAAACCCTTGTGGAATTTGCACTTGGTAAAGTGTGGGTTTAAACTAATCCTTGCTGGAAATGAGCCACAATTTATAAACTCCTAGCCCACAGGAAACTCACCTCTGCCCTTGGAATCAGATTCCCTAATTGATTTAGCAATACATAGAGGTGCCATAAAGTCAGTCAGGGACTCAGGACAGAAGGCTGAGTTCAGAAAGGTTAAATAATTCCACTTGAAGCTATTTTTACCTGTTTGAAAACGTGTCAGAATGGCTATAGGGCAGTAGTTATGATTGTAGGCAGGGAAGTCTTTATTATACAGGGTGTTTCAAAATGTCAAAGTAATATAGTTCATGTTGGCAACATGGTACAATGACATAAAAAGTTACCAACGGGTTGATGAGTTATCAAGTTTTACTAACCATTTTCAGCCAGAAACAAATTTAAAACTCTAACTCATTTAGTGGAGAATATCTCAGTGGTTCCCAAACTTTTTTTTGACCAGGAACCTTTGATCAGGGACCACACTCCAACATTAGTACTAAAAGGGTTATGAATCAGTTTTTGGTCAACTTTAGATTTGGTTTGGTTCTAGTTTCTGATACAGAACATATGCCATCCAGTAGTCGCTATCTGCTTGCCCACAAAAAATCCATATTTAATAAGCCTCGGTACTATTAAGAGGGTTTTGCGAGACCAGTCGCTCCCATTTCAACGGTGTAGTAATGGTGAGGCAGTAAACCATATTTTAGTTCTTGCGTGCCACTGGTGATCCACGGACCACAGGCTGGGAACCACTGCATTAGATCTTACATCGCAAGCTCACCATCTTGCGAATGAATGAGGCTAGGAGCTGTTTTTGGGCTGATAGAGGCATCTAACAGGAAGCATTTGAGACCCTATGCTTCCCCAGCTTTAAGTTGGAAGAGTTTCATTCATGGGCCATTTGGGGTTGCAGGTATAGCGCAATTTCAAATCATCTCCATCTTTTTGAAACACCCCATATAGCTTAAATTTACTATTAACCCCCAAGGTGGTCTAAGGCAAACCCCCCAAGCCTCCACACACACACGTACACACCATTTTATAAAAGGTGAATATATTTAGTATGTATAAAGGTGACTGAAGCAATATATGTGAAACACTGCATCCTAAAAGCAATCTATACATCTTAAATAGTATTGTGCTCAAAATCTGCATCCTTGACAGGAGTAGGGTAGTGTCCTCATTACTTTATACTTAGGGCACTTAACATGGCAATTTTAAGATAAGTGCAGGCACTGCAGCCTTACGTGTTTGAAAAGGGTTCAGGCAAAAGGAATGGTGTAGAAAGAACCTTTAAAGAAATCTGAGCTGATTAGTGACATTTTATGAATTAATCCAGAACCAATAATAGTTTAGCAAAGAGCTAATTTCATTTCTGGAAGCTGTGATAGGCATACTTTTCCAGGATCCAAAATTCTGGGGGGAAAAATTCAGCTGAAGGAAAATATAGGACTCTGCATAGCGCCTTCATAACAGGAATTACAGATTTCTAAAAACAAAAAAGACTAAACAGCAGTCGAAAGATATAAATAGCACATAAAAGACCAGAACGCAACCAAAGGTACAAAGTCCATCATTCTCCTGTGATGAGGTTTCTATGTTTACAGTGATGCAGTGCCTTCCAGTGTACAGCATTTTGTAGACTAGCACAAATACTTTGGTGAAGGGAGAGGAGGATTTCCTTGGGATAACACAGATAATTAATACTGAATATTATAGATCCTTTTTTATGATATCTGGATTTAACAGACAGCTTACATGAAAAGTTATAATTTGGTAATAGAGTATTAATTACATGTAAACCTGCATTATATGACATTTTTAATGAAAAGGAAACAACAGCAAAGTGTTGGGATGGATAAAATAGTACTGTCACACAATGAGAAAAGTGAACTTTGTAAGACAGGGCCTCATACAATCCTAAACCTGGAATATACAATTACTCAATGCTGTTGTTTAGGAAGGGACCAGCACTCTTTGGTAGAGAAAGTTAAAGACCTTCTAAAACTGTAATTGCCATGATTCAACAGCATTTAGCCGTGGCAATTAAAGTGTTATCAAACTAATTTAACTCTGCATTGTAAATGCACCATAGCTTTTGCTGGCTCTTTATTTCATCATTTTGCGCTTTGCCAGTAGTTTCCAAGTTCATATGAAGCTTGTTCAACAAGTACAATATAAATGTTTGAAAATGTGTGTATTGTTTATAAATCATTGTGATTTTAATAGTTTTTAATCTGGAAAAAACCTTCCTTAGCTGCACACATACTGTAGCATAGCTTTAATGATAAAAAGAGATTGCATCAGCACATTTGTGCAGTCTCTTGCAAAGCCATTTGCTTTATCGTATCAAACAGTGAAACTTTTCCGACTCTGTTGCTCTTGCCTATTTTTGATTGGGCAAAGAAATATTTTATTCTGCAATTGGCAAAATAAGATTATAGGCTTTCGTGATGGCTATATCCACACTGTGATAAGCTGCAACTTATTAAATTTATAAATCCCATTTTCCACCAGACAGCTACCTGGTGTGATATACAGTAAGATTTGAAAGTAAGAAACTGGAACAAGCAAACGTGCAATTTAATAAAATTTGAGCCCAGCATTAAAAAAAGAACATTAACCCAGTATCACAAAGTTTAAAGAGTGCTACAACCACAGTAATTGGAGCTAATCTCACCTTCAGAAGGGAACCCACAGCTGGGATGCTGCTACTGAGATTGTGTCTTTAGGACATACCACTTCTGCCAGTCTATATGAGATGTGTATCAGGCTCTTCAATGATGGTTAAAATTATGAGCAAGTTCTTGTGAAAAGAGGTGGTTGATCCTCCAGATTTCATTGTCCCAGCCATTCCGTTTTGATAAAACAAAGCCAGCTCCTTGGATAATGCATCAAAATCAACTGAAAGCCAGTTACGTTGACATAAGACTAGGGTAATTTTGCCTGCAACATGTACCCGTCAAATGCAGTCATTCTACTCGCTGTAGTATCCAAATCCCTCTACATCAAACATATTACAAGAAGTGATCAAAATACAAGACAAATGGTTTTCTTCATTTCTCTGAATATCATGTTTATTCCAATTGCCAGGACACTGCCAGATTTCTTCAGACCAAAATATCTGACTTGGATTGCGGTCCAGTGTTGGACTCCAAACATTAATCTTTAGACACAGAGCCTGAATTCGGTGGGAACTGCCTCCCAAGGAGCATGTTTAGGTTTTAAGGCCAGCAGTGTTTCTAAGGAAACAGAGATGAATTCAGAAGCCACTTCTGGCTACGTTTTGTTCCTGGATGCTGCAGAAGTGGGCACATACCATACCACTGTCTCAAAAGTGCTTCAGATTGAGAAGCTGTGTTAAAGAGAGGGCCACTAGCTATCTTTACTATCACAATCTCTCTCTGATATTCTAGGTGGCCTTTGCAACCTCTGCCTGGACAAAATCAACAAAGACTATATCGTGGAGGCAGATGGGGTCTCTGCTGTGGTCAACTGCCTCTCCAGTTCCAATGAGGAAACTGTGCTGTCCGCTATTACCACCCTGATGTACTTGACTACCCCCCAGTCTCGCCAACAGATCACCGCCCTCCCAGTGATCGAGTGCATGCTGCGGTTCTCAGTCTCGGCCAGCAAGAGGCTCCAAAACCTGGCATCCGTCTTCCTTGAGGACTACTGCACCCCTCTTCAGGTGGAGAAGGCCAGGAACCTGACTGAACATACAGCGCTAGGGATCCCATTACCTAAAGACTGATGCAACCCTAAAGAAATATGCAAAAATCTTAGTGGTGTGGGATTACTGCTTTTTGTAGTTCTGTGTTGCAGTTTCTCAAGTCGCTCCTGACACAAAATCTGTATGATGGTAAAAACTATACATGTTGATTTAAATGTTTAATAACCTGAATAATCCAAATATAATGAGATACAATTTCGTTGCAGACTGAGAAACATAATGAGACACTTTCCCACCATTTAGACTGGCCAGCCAAGTATGTGCTTCCTTCTTCCCAGCTCCGCTGGCAATTGAAGTGCAAGAATCTCTTTTTATTAGGCTCTGGGGCTTTTGCTGTCCAGTATTGCCCGCCAGTCATCCTTCCATGACTCCAGTCTTCTTTGTGGGGGCTCCAGCTTCAGGTGCTTGTTATGGCAGCAAGAGAACAAGATATGCTCCCAGCTTGGATTGGGTTCCACTCCTGAGATGAATCAAAGCAAGAAGTTGCCATAGTGACCATAACATCACCAGAGACAAAGCACCCAAACGTGAACGTCATACCTCAAATTCCCATACCTCTAATAGTGTCCTTGTCATCAAAGAGCAGATCCGCTGACACAACTGTCTTATCTCTAGTCAGAATTATTCGCTCCACAAACGCCGGACCCAAGTGCTTGTCAACCCACTGGTACTGTCAATATTAAAAGGGTTTATAATAAATAAATAAATAATAATAAAAACTTTATTTATATCCCACCACCATCTCCCTGAAAGGACTCAAGGCAGCTTACAAAGCATTCCAGGGTGTACAAATAACATACAACCAGTAAAAACAGTACAAAAGTATAAAACAAGTAACATAAAATTATAATAACCCCCATCAACACATGTTAGCATAAAATCAAAACAATACAATTTTAAAACAACGGTAAATTAAACTAACTGCCATCAATTCACAGGTGCCAAGTGTCAGCTTCATATGAACCCAGGTCAAAGCCCTGTCTGAACATCCATGTTTTCAGGTTGGAACGGAAAGACTGAAGGGTGGGGGCTAATCTATTCTCTTTTGGGAGGATATTCCAGAGCCTTCAAGTTTCAAATGAGAGCTTTCAAAAAGCCATTTGCCATGTGGGGGATCTTACCCCACAGTATTAAGAAGAGACGTCTGAGTAGTCCCACTACTGGTGATAAAACTCATCTGAAATATAATCTGTAAAGATATTTGCTCATTTTACAAATCACCTAGGTTGCAATCTTTTGTATGCTGTCTTGGGAATGAACGTCACTGAAGACTGTTTTAGTTTGTGTGTGTGTGTTTTAAAAAGCAGTGTTTGGATTTATTTTTTGAAGGATAATTTCATCCATGTACCTTACTGTGGAAGCTCAAGCAGCTGAAAAGTAATAAAAGTACTTTAATAAATAAAATAATTCTGAATACGCATACATAGGACTATATGGTTGACCTACCCCCCAGAACAGGATGAAGTAGCCTTTTTTTTTAGTTTGGAGATACCCATCTTAGGTAAGGCTACTTTAGTTAATATAGCTCCTTCTCCCTTAACCCTTTTTTCTGGACCCATTTATGGATTTCCCAAGTTTTGTTCACAGAAGAAAAAAAGGATTGTAATCATAAAATCATAGAGCTGGAAGAGACCACATGGGCCATCTAATCTAACCATGCAGGAAAGGCGTAATCAAAGCACCCCCAACAGATGGCCATCCAGCCTCTACTTAAAAGCCTCCAAAGAAGGAGCCTCCACCACACTCCAGGGCAGAGAGTTCCACTATTGAACAGATCCTATGGTCAGGAGGGTCGTCCTCACGTTCAGGTCGATCTCCTTTCCAGTAATTTGAACACAATGCTCCCAGTCCTAGTTTCCAGAGCAGCAGGAAAACAAGCCTGCTCCCTCTTATGACATCTTTTCATATATTTATGCGGGCTAAACATACCCAGCTCTTTAAGATGCTCCTCATAGGGATTCATGGTCTCCAGACCTTTGATCTGTATAAATATAGGCCATGATGTTGCATTTGACACATAGCAATGCTGTGGCTATGCTCTCTCTCCTAACAATCCACCTTAAAATCCAGACAAAGGACAAAGTTATCTGTTGCTGGTGAGCAAGGCATTGAAGAGCATGTCTAGCAACAGTGAGTTCTCAACAGTCCAGCACTCACTGGGAGGACAGAAGAGCTGGGCATTAGCTTCCATCAGCACCTTACCCACCTTCCCTCTGTGCTTCAGAACTGTCTCATTATTGCTGCATGGATTTTAAGATAGGTTTGAGGGGTATTTGCAGTGCCATGGTGGTAAATAACAATCGTAAACAATTGCAAAGCCATGGGTCTAGGTTTAGAACATTATCATTGCCAACACAATAAAAGCCAAAATGAATGCCTCATCAGGTATGAATGATACACATGTGTAGAGTTAGTCAGAAATCTCTTTTTAAAATATTGGCTGAAATGACGTAACACTTTTTGAGATACTGATTTAAAATTAAACAATACTGCCTCATGGTGTGGTAGAGAGTCCTCCTTTTAGATGTTTTTAAACAGAGTTTGGGTGGCCATCTATCAAGAGTGCTTTGATTGTGTTCCTGCATGGCAGAATGGAGATGGACTAGATGGCCCTTGGGATATCCTCCAGCTCTATTATTCTGTAAGGTAAAGCCACTGCTGATAAATTTTACATCATAGTGATGAGAAGTGCATGGTCTAATATATATATTATTGAACTGTAACTCCCCATCCTCAGCCAGCATAGCTATTGGTGAGATATGCTGGGAAGTGGGAGTTCAACCACCCCGGGTGGGCTGTACAACTCCTACTCCTGCTTGAACTACTCTGATTTTCTTGTACGTATCCCTTGGTATACATCACAGTACAACTTTTAAAGCAAAAAATGCATATGACTCCTTTAGCTCCATAGACTGATCAACTAATTTGATTCATCAAGGCATTTTTAAATGGAATATTCCCCAGAATGGAATATAGATAGATAATTATTACAGAATCTGAGTTCAGATTCTGTAACAATTGCCTAAGTGCTCAAGTTTTTAGGTCAAAGCAGGCCAGCTGCCCTGCAAGTTCAGGGCCAAAGGAAAAGCAACAGAATCAACCCAGACGCATTAAGACAGAAGTATATGCCAGGCAGCAGAGATATCATAAGAGAGAGAAAGCAAAAGGGAAGAATGTTGCTCTAATGGCATTCACAATACACCCTATATCAGTAAATACTTTGCCTTACCTAAGATTGAAGTTGGACAAAGTTGAAAAAGAAAGGGTATGGGAGGAAATAGCAATGGCCTACCTTCTCCTGGACGCAGTATTTATATTTCCTTAGAGGGCTTGTGCAAAGAAAAACTTCAATGCTGAAAACACAATACATTATGTGTCATTATAGAAGAATAGAAGAATGGACGGCAGTGAAAATGTTCTAAATTTGAAATGGTTCTTACTTGGGCATTTTGATCATCTCTTGCATTGCATCAACAGCTCCAGGAATGGGATCCAATCCCAGAAAAAAGCCTTTTGACTCATACACACTGGCTAGCTTTGCCTGGAAAACACACAGAAATAATTACGTTTCTCCTTGCAGTGCACTGGACAGAGTTTACCTGTTGCTTAAGTCCACCTAAATGTGGAGAATGAATGGCGAAACTAGAAGTTTCCTGCTCATGAAAAAGGCCAGAAAAACTTATTTTCTGAACATCCCCATGTTTGTAAAATTGAAGCGCTTCTTTTTTAAAAAGTCTCTGGTATTTGCTTTGAGAAAGCTCAATTGGAACGTGGTCCAAGTTGTCTAAAACAAGATTGGCATTTAGTGTTTCCTTTAGTAATAATCATGCAAAGAAGTTCCATTCTGCTTACATGTAAGCAGAATGGAACTTCCTTCAAGTTATTCAAGTGAATCACCCGTTCTTGTTCTGGAGATTTGCAGCTAGTGAATCACTTTTGATATTATTATTTCTTTACACCAATAGCATCATAGTTTCCTTCTCAACGGTTTTGTTTTCCTTTTATAAAACACTACCAGTTGTGACAGAAATGGCCATTTGATGTTGAAACATGCTTTTGATTAAATAGAAGATACAGCACACCCAATTTTTGTAGGGAGTTGAAGTCCAAAACACCTGGAGGGCCAAAGTTTGCCCATGCCCGATGTAGAGTCATTTGCACAGAAAGGAATTCCATCCAATGCTTAAAAAACAACAACAACAACACTGTATTTCTGCCTAGGAATAAAACTCCTCCAGCTGCATTCATGAGTCTAGCAAAGCTGCTGAAAACAGGAAAGAGTTGCAAAATTGTGTGTGTGTGTGTGTGTGTGTGTGTGTACAGGGAAGCTAAGGACACCTCTAACTGAAGTCTCAAATATGAACCTTAGTTACTATTTTCCTAACACTCTGGTGGAAAGTCCAAAAGTCCTACTTGGAACATGACTTAACAGCCCAGAAAACTCACAACGCATCTTACCATTTGCTTTGCTGCGGCCAGCCAGGCTTTGAAGCTGCAAGGCCATTCAATGCTAAACAAGCTGGCTAATTACAACATTCACACTTGCCTCAACCAGACAAGAGTTCTTTCTCCCACCCTGGACATTATTCCACAGATATATAAACCTTACTTGCCTAGTTTCCAACAGACCTCACAACCTCTGAGGGTGCCTGCCATAGACAAAGGTGAAATGTCAGGAGAGAATGCTTCTGAAACATGGCTATACAGCCTGGAAAACTCACAACAACCCATCTCACCATTTGCTTTGCTAGCTACAACTGATGGGAGATGCAGCCAGCCAGTCTTTGAAGCTGCAAGGTCATTCAGTGCTAAGGAAGCAGGCCAATTACAACATTTACACTTGCCTCATGCAGACAAGAGCTCTTTCTCCCACCCTGGCAATACACTTTAACTGACTTGGCTCAATGCTATGGAGTCGTGAGAGCTGCAGTTTGGGGAGGCATCAGCCCTCTGGGTCCTTGTGGAACCACAGCTCCCAGGATTGCACCGCCTTGAGCCGCAGGCAGTTAAAGTGGCGCCAAACTGCATTCGTGGTGCAATGTGGATGATGCCTCCCTTTGCTCCCTGGGCCTCCTCACCCCGAGGTCCTCCCTGAGGCTGCGGTACTGCTCCTGGGTGGAGAAGCCCCTCCGCTGGGCCAGCTCCACGCGGGGCTCCCCCGGGAAGGAGGCCTTGAAGCCCCGCAGGGCGCCGCCCTCGAAGTCGGCCAGCACCCCGTCCATGTCCACCAGCACCCGCAGCGGGCGCTCCCCCGGGGACAAGGGCAAGGCCGCCGCCGCCGCCGCCATGCGCCCAGAGGAGCTCCGCCGAGGCGCGCCTCCAGGGGGCAGCCTTCCCCAACAGGGCTGCTTCCCTGGCTTCCAGGAGCCAGCCCCCGACTGCTCACCACGAATTCCTGTTCACAATGCATAGATTTTATTTGCAAGTCGCTTCTGGTTGTGTGAGAATCGGCCGTCTACAAAGACATTGCCCAGGAGACGTCTCGATGTGTTACTATCCTGCGAGGAGGCTCTCTCATGTCCCCCATATCAAGCCAAAAGTGGGCGCTAGAATTTTTTTTTCGTGTCTGAAGCGACTTGAGAAACGGCAAGTCGCTTCTGGTGTGAGAGAATTGGCCGTCTGCAAGGACCAAGGACGTTACCCAGGGGGTGCCCTGATATGTATATTTTTTGGTCAGGAGCAACTTTAGAAACTGCAAGTCGTGAAACCCTTATCCCAGCAGGACTGAAGACCGACAGGGGAGAGCGTGGAGGAGCTCCCTCTGTCAGCTCCAGCTCTCATGAGAGAAGACTCCCACAAGGATGGTAAAAAACCAACAGCTGCTCTGGACCACAGTGAAGAAGGGGTGGGCGGGCAGGGGACAGCTCCACCCTTGTCTTCTTTTTTTTTGTCGTGTCAAGAGTGACCTGAGAAACTGCAAGTCGCTTCTGGTGTGAGAGAATTGGCCGTCTTCAAGGACGTTGTCCAGGGGATGCCCGGATGATTTAATGTTTTTATCATCCTTGTGGTTGGCTTCTCTCATGTCCCCACATGAGGAGCTGGAGCTGATAGAAGGAGCTCATCCGCCTCTCCTCAGATTCGAACCTATGACCTGTCAGTCTTCAGTCCTGCCGGCACAGGGGTTTAACCCACTGCGCCACCGGGGGTTCACCTTATCTCCTGTGCTATACTAATAATATAATGAAATTTAATATATTGCATATACATATAATATGTATAATATTATAATGTAGTACAGTATAATACTAATAATATATTATTATACTTATATATTTTATATTACATGTAATATTGCTAATAATATTACAATATAATGGTATAGTACAATATAGTAATATATAATACTGATATTGTACTATGCTAATAATTTAATATATTGTATGCATATATATCTTGTAAGCCACTCTGAGTCCCCTTCGGGGTGAGAAGGGCGGCATATAAATGTCATAAATAAATAAATAAATAAACAAATAAATAAACAAATAAATAAACAAATAAATGAAACATCAAAACATCCAGGCATCCCCTGGGCAATGTCCTTGTAGGCAGCCAATTTTCTCACACCAGAAGCAACTTGCAGGCTCATGTTTTACCATCCTGTAGGAGGCTTCTCTCATGGGAGCTAGAGCTCGACAGACAGGAGCTTACCCCACTCCCCAAATTCAAACTACCAATCTGTTGTTCCGCCAGCCCTGCAGGCAAAAGGGTTTAACCCATTGTGCCAGTGGGGGCTCCTTGCGCTGGAAATAATATCATACAAAAGCTGACTCTGGCACAACCCAAGGATCACAACCAGACACAATGAAGACATCAGCCCTTACGCTTTGCTACTCTGCTGCTGAATACACATGCCCAGTGTGGAACATGTCTCACCACGCTAAAACAGTGGGTGTGGCTCGTAATGAGACATGCTGCATTATCAGAGGATGTCTACGCCCCACAGCACTGGAGAAATTACACTGTTTAGCTGGTATTGCACCACCGGGAAGTAGCAGCCAATAATGAAATTACCAAGGCAGTGATATCTCTGGCCCATCCTCTGTTCGGATATCAGCCAGCACGCCAATGCCTGAAATCAAGAAATAGTTTTCTAAGATATACAGAGATACTTGCAGGAACACCTCAGCAAGTGAGAGTCCAAAAGTGGCAGGCTAAAACCCAGCACCTCAATCCATGGCTGATACCAAATGAGAGACTCCCTCCTGGGACAAGACACAAGACTGGGCGACCTGGAAGGCACTGAACAGGCTGCTCTTTGGCAGCATGAGATGCAGAGCCAACCTTAAAAGTGGAGTACACAACATGCGAGTGTGGAGAAGAGTAGACCACCTTTTACAATGCAGTCTGAGCCCTGCCCCATGCACAATGGAGGACCTTCTCACAGCAACACCAGAGGGCCTGTCAGCTATAATATGTAGGTGTGATGGATGAACTTAACAAGAAACCTCTGAATCTTTAAAAAGATCCAGAGAGGTTTAATGAGTATAGAAGTGGGCATTATACTAAATGTCCTTTGACCAGTAGCTGGCCACTTGGAGGCCATGTCAGGACAGAGTTTGGAAAACGAACTCTGTACGTGTGCACGATTCCAGAGGGAAGAGCCAGGATATTAAACTGGTAGGGAAACCAGTCAGTATCAGGAATTGTGGAGGTGTTCAGGCTCTTCAAAACCATGCTGGGAGAGACCAACACATTCACCTCAACCCTTGTTCCTTAGGAATCGTTGTTTGCCATCCGTGGCAACCCTCTCACTAGGTTTTCTTGGCAAGACTTGTTCAGAAGAGGTTTGCAATGGTCTTATATTATTATAAGAGTGTGACTCGCCCAGGGTCATCCAGTGGGTTTTCAAGGTTGAGCAAGGATTCAGGTCCTGGTCTCTCAGTATCCTGGTCTAACACTCCACTATGCTGGATATCTCTCATTAGGAATTATTTATAGCTGAGCCCTCCCAGAAGTAACAAAGGCATCCTGGGATCAGCCCAATGCATACTTACTTGGGAGTAAGGCACAAGGATCTTCATATTTGGGGATAAATGAATGATAACAGATGGGAGAAATCGATTGTGCCTGGTAGATATATACAAGTTTTGTGGCGGAATGAAAATTGTAGTTCACATTTTACCAGTCCACACATTATCTTGCCAGAGAAAAAAGATATGCCACGCAGATGATCAGCAAAGAATAAGGTGTTTACTTGTTGTAATGCAGAGCAACATATATACAGTCATGAGAACAATTGCATTGACTCACACAATGTCCTTTGAGATTCAAATGGTATTTAGGTGTCCATGTGGAGAATCTTATTCCAGCAGCTCATGAAGCAAGAATACAAAACCGTCTTGGCAAGCTCCTGCACAGAAAACTTAAACATGTAACTGTTGCCAAAACTCCCAGGCTCAGCTGGCTTCTAGGCGTGGCCCAACCAATCAGCTTTGGCTTTGCATTCATAGATTTTGCTTTTAACTTAGTAAAGGGACATGTAGGATAAGAAACCATACAGGCCCTTTGCATTCACCTAAAGTTTTTCCCATTTTCCTTGATATTTTAAATGTATTTTTAATTTAGTTTTTTAATATATTTATTCCATTTTACCATTGCTTTTGTGATATTCAGATTGTTCCAGCTTTAGTGGGTTGATGTTTTTCTTAATGCAATGCATTGTTTTTTTATTTATTTATNCAAATGCAGCCGGATTGCCCAGACACGAATCAAGGAACAGGAAAGGCACTGTAAATGACTTCAGCCAGAGAAGTCAGCCATAGCAGAGCACCTGATGAGCCAACCTGGACACAGCAGATTATTTGAGAAGACAGAAATGCTAGACCACTCTCACAACCACCATGTCAGTCTATTATTTATTTATTTATTTTATTTATTTAATACACTTGTATACCGCTAATATCTCAGCCTAAATCGGCGACTCATTGCGGTTTACAGCAATTAAAAGCAATGTACAATTTAAAACAACAACACGTAAACAATACAAATTATTGGGCCACCAATAATAATACCATGCTTCTCGTCACAAAAATCACAGTCCAGAGTTCGTCATCCATAGTTAACCAGTCCTTAGTCTATAAATTCAATAGTAACAAACTAATTGAATGCTTGTTTACACAACCATGTTTTTAATCTCTTCCGAAAGACCATCAGCGAAGAGGCTGATCGTATCTCTATAGGGAGGGTGTTCCAAAGCCGAGGGGCCACCACAGAGAAGGCCCTGTCTCTCGTTCCCGCCAGCCGCACTTGGGAAGCCGGTGGGATAGAGAGCAGGGACTCTCCAGAAGACCTTAGGGTCCTGGTGGGCTGATAGGCTGAGATACGTTCGGATAGATAAGTTGGGCCAGAACCGTTTAGGGCTTTAAAGGCCAAAACCAGCACTTTGAATTGAGCCCGGTAGCATATCGGCAGCCAGTGGAGCTGGTGCAGCAGAGGAGTTGTGTGCTCCCTGCGCCCCGCTCCTGTTAGTACCATGGCTGCCGCCCGTTGGACTAGTTGGAGCTTCCGGACTGTCTTCAAAGGCAACCCCACGTAGAGAGCGTTGCAGTAATCAAGGCGGGATGTCTACACAGAGAAGCCATTGAAATCCACAAGAAGCAGGTGGACAATTTCATCAGAAAGGAGGAAACCATGAAAATGAACATAATCTGGCTAAAGGTAAAGGTAAAGGTTGTCCCCTGACATTAAGTCCAGTCATGTCTGGCTCTGGGGGTTGGTGCTCATCTCCATTTCTAAGCCAAAGAGCCGGTGTTGTCCGTAGACACCTCCNGCAGTTGGCGCACAAGTTTTTAATTTTATTTTGTAGCCGAAATACCTTAATGACGCCAAATACTGTCAGCTCTGGTTCATTCTTGGATGGGAGTCCACTAACAAATACTAGGTGCAATAGGCTGCTGAACCACCTGAGTATATCCCATCCCTAAGGAAACCCTATAAAATTAATGAATACACATCAGTAAGCAGGCAACTTGAAGGCACATGCACACACAAAAGCCCCATTGTTGGCCCAATACCATATGTAGACCTGAGCAATATGCTCTATTTCTACTCACAACAACTTACACAGTATTTATGATGCCTTCACAATAAAACAAAGGCTCTGCAGATGAGAGCCAAGCTTATTATTTCTAAACCAGTACAGAGATTTCTTTATAGGCCTTATATGCAATATCTGAGCTTGGCAAACAGCATCGAGATAAGAAAAAACTCTTCATTTACAGGGATTGAGAAACGAAAGACTAGCTGGTACTAAAGTAATCAGTGAAACTACATTGGTCCCTCCTTGAATTCACTACTTCTCACATTTACATTCCTCTGCATTT